AGGACTTGATTTCACAATAGGTTTTCATTGGTGCTTTTTTCAAGAAATTTTGTTAACTTGGGTTGAATGAGAGAATGTCTTACTGTTTTTACTTAAAATTTCATGTTGTATGTAAGCATTCCATTTATTTATAAACATTTCACTTGTAAATTTTTATTGTGTATGTGGTACTACTTCACTGTCAAAAGAATGGGGAGGAGGGCCTCTACTTGATTCTTTTCAGTTAAAATTAGGAGATGGGATATGGAACATATTTAATGTCACTTTAAAAATTACTGGATTGCAATTAGATGAAAAAGTAGTTGGTTGATTTTTTTTTTAACCCTTCTAGTTTTCCCTCATTGTTTGTGCTCTTTCCCCCATTGTTAGGCTTAAAACATACAGTATCATTGTCATCTGTCCCCTGAATAATGGTCCTGAGGTGATATTATTAATGTGGCTTTTTAAAATCAAACTAATTATACTTGCCTAAAAGAGCCACATGTGTGTGATTCTAGCTGCCTGGTGCCTTTTGAGAGCCCTGGAGACAAGCTAGTGAATAGAGCTGAAAATTCATTCTGTATTTGATTAAATGGAACAGACTCGCTGCTCCTTACCCCAGCAGGGGCTATGAGATCTCTTGATCCCCGAAGCGGCTCCAAGACCCTGGGAATTCCATTAGCGAGCACCTGAGGAATTTCTGCCCTGCAGTGCCTTTTTTGTATGTGTGTATGTGTGTGTGTGGAGAGGGAGGGGATCAGAGTGGTGATGGGGGACGGGGGGAGGGCGGGGGTGTGGAGAGAGGCTGCATTAGAAGACTCCATATGTTAGCAGATCTAAAATCAAGGCATGACTTAACAGCTTATCTTGTAATAGAAAAGCCCAACCCAGAGGCAGATTGCTAGTCAGGACTTTCTTACAAGCAGAACTGTGGTGATGTGTTCTTAGCACTGAAGCGAATGCCACTGTAAGTACAGAAAGTCACTTCTCTGTTTTCCCTCCGGAGCACAAGCGTATACACGTTCCAGACTTGGTGAGTTTTCTCTGAATGATCTTTTGATAAGTTTGTAAAATTGTGGGGCAGTTTGGTCTTGCCTGTGAGGGCTGATGTATTGTTTTAATAACTTTTTAAACTGTGGGCAAAATCAGACGTCTGTGTGGAGCAAATTGTTTTGCAGAGATGAAACGCTTGTTTGAGCAGGCATATTTTAGTTTGCTTTTTCGTTTTTATCTGATTTAATTGTGTTTTTGTCAGATGATTAACATAGAATCTAAATTCATTCAGTGTATGTTTCTTTTCTGTTGTCTTTTTAAGAATTCTTTCTGATTTCTAGTATGTTTTAAATCATTGCTTTGCAGACTTGCTAGTGCCCATAAGTAAATGAAAATATATCTACCAAAAGTATTCTGTAAAATCTTTGGAGGAAAATTTTTGAGAAACATTAGGATGCCTTTTTTCTTCCTTCCCTCCTCACATGCGCCAAATACTTTCTGGATGTAAATATTTTTCAGAATATTAGCCCAATTTGTTCTTTGTGCACGTTTCAAGGACGAGCAAGCGGTTCTGAATCTTGAATGGTGTAATTAATGTTCATCTTCTGAGAATAATTAAAAGTGAACGTGAACTCTGTTCTTATAATTTTCAACTAATGCAGAATGTAATAGTGTATTTGGTGGTTAATTTGATATCTTTATTCCTGATTAAATTCATGCTGTGTCACAGTTCTTTCCATCCTATTACTATGTACTACTCTACCAAATTCTCATGATACAGTATGTAGAAAATAAAAACACTTTTCAGAGAATATGTTTTTTTTCCACCTTAATCCTGTGCATGCCTTCTACTAGTATGGCCAAACTGACAGGACCCTTGAATGAATTGGAGTAAACTCGAAGTTAGCATTGTACCTGTCTTGTTTCATAGTCATTAAGTCGCTTTGCTGTATGATGTATTTTGATGGCAGGATCATAAAAAACTACCCCAAAGAACATTTTGCTCTGCTACTTACCATTTGGAATGTAAGGACTTCAATTCTTGAGAGCCAGTGATGTGCTTTTTAATCATAGAACTGAGGAACTGTGAAATTCCTTACATCTTACTTGAAAGGGGAAAAAAATACACAGGTTATATTACTGAACTTAGACACATTCTGCTTACGTTTTGTTGCTTAGAACTGTGTGAGTGATATTATTTTTGTGTTACCCCAATAAAAGAGAATTAAGAAGCTGTCATACAGTTTGCTTTTCAGCTCTTCTTGTGATAGACCTGCACATCCTTTTTATTTGTGTGATTTGGGCAGTGATTTTTACCTAAGTCTTGGTTTCCTCATCTGAAAAATAGGGTTAATAACAATAGTATCTCTTACCACCATGTGGATATTACATAAGATAATGAAAGTAAAGCACTTGGCATGTAGTAAAACCTCTGTAAATTCTAGCTGTTGGGGTATTTTTAATAACTCCTCCTGCATATGATAGTCTGCTACTTTGATGAAGAAGTGATTTTTTTTTTTAAGGACTAAGAAATTAAGAAGTCTCAGGAGTTAGTAATACTGTGAACACAGGGCTCTGCTGTAGTTTAAGGATGCTACAGTTTTCTTCATTTTGCAACTGAAACTTAAAAGCAAAACAATACATTGCATCTGTTTCCCAGTTGAGGTATAATATACAGATGTACACAAGTGTACAGTTAATGCATACTAAGTGAATAGAATGAAGTTTTACATTGAAACCTGTGTGTAGTAACCGTGACCCAGATCAAGATCTAGGACATTTTCTTCATCTCAGGAGACTGCCCGGTGTCCCTTCTCAGACAACCCCGCCATCCCCAGCAGGCAACAGCAATTCTGACTAATCTCACCACGGATTAGTTTTGCCTGTCCTCCAACTTTATAGAAATGGATTCATAAAGTATGTGCTCTTTTATATCTGGTTTCTTGCACTGCTCCTTATGGCTGAATTCATCTGTGTTATTGTGTATGGTAGTAATTCATGCTTTTTTAACTTGTGGTGTCTTTTGTGTGTTTTAAAATTCATAGTCGTTAATTTTATTGACATATTGGCTACGTGATCATTGGGAACAAAAGAAGATAACACTTCTTAAATTATTAAAAAAGTCAGATCCCAGTGGCCAGCTTAGAATATATTATACATAAAATTGGGTTGAAGGTAAGCAAATTACCTTCAGTCACAGTTTCATAAACCAAATCCTTTGATAACCGCATTCTTTGTGTGTGTTTTTAGAAGAGAAGGGAGCCTCAAAATAGAGAAGGACCATCTGAGGGAGCTTATATCCTTCATGCTTAGGATTTAGTGCCATAATCAGTACTTAGAATTGTATGGACCTAACCACCGGCTTAGCATTAGTGTCATATTCTTTTATAAGAAATGAAACAACTCAATGCTTTTTTGAAACAAACAAAAAAATCCACCTAAAATGGAAGAAAATGGAGCTAGGATGTTGT